GCCCCTAAAAAGGACAAAGAGACAGTCCGCATCTGCGTGGACATGACACCTTTAAATGGGTCGGTGTGCCGCGAAAGATATATCCTTCCCTCTGTCGACCAAACACTAGGCATGCTCACAGGGGCGCAGTATTTCTCCAAGCTCGATGCTAACATGGGCTTTTGGCAAATGCCGCTATCCAAAGAATCTGCTCTCCTCACCACGTTTATTACGCCATTTGGTAGGTACCATTTCAACCGTCTGCCATTTGGTATTTCCAGTGCACCAGAGCATTTCCAAAACATGATGGTGACAGAAGTGACAGCCGGCCTCGCGGGAGTCGTATGCCACATGGACGACATCCTGGTCTGGGGATCTACGAGAGAGGAGCACGACATGAGACTCCACGCTGTCCTCGACCGTGCAGAGAAGGCAGGCGTCACCCTGAACATGTCAAAATGTGAGTTTGGCAGATGAGCGGTGAAATTCTTAGGATTCATTGTGTCATCTGAAGGCATGAGTCCCGACCCTGACAAAACTAGCGCGGTGCAGAAGATGAAAGAGCCAAGCACTGTGAGTGAGCTCAGGAGCTTCTTAGGAATGGTGAACCAGCCGGGGAAATTCATCCCAAACCTTTCTGAGAAAGACAAACCACTGAGAGACTTGCTTTCAACTAAAAACATGTGGTACTGGGGGCATGAGCAACAAAACGCCTTTAACAGTTTAAAACAAGAACTGTCATCTGCACCAGTGCTACAGCTCTACAACCCAAACAAACCCCAGAAGATCTCAGCAGATGCCTCTTCATACGGGTTGGGGGCAGTCTTACTACAGAAAGACAATGATGTGTGGTCACCTGTCGCGTATGCCTCGAGATCATTGACAGCCACAGAGCAGCGCTACGCTCAGCTGGAAAAAGAAGCGCTAGCGCTCACCTGGGCCAGCGAAAGATTCAGTGACTTTATTCTAGGGCTACACTTTGAGCTTGAGACCGACCATAAGCCACTAGTGAGCCTACTCGGAGGACAAGCCCTGGATTTGCTTCCACCACGGATACAGAGATTCCGCATGCGCCTGATGAGGTATTCTTACACTATAAGGCACATTCCAGGCAAAAGCCTCACCACAGCCGACACGCTGTCACGGTTGCCGTTGGCAGGCAACGTGATTCCCAGAGACAATGACCTTATGGAGGACACTGATATCTACGTTGACACAGTGCTGGAGGGCCTTCCTACTAGCAGCAAATACCTTTCAGATCTCCGTGAGCAGCTGCAGTCTGACAGCGTCTGTTCGCAAGTCATGAAGTACTGTGCAGAGGGCTGGCCGGACAGGAACCAGCTGCAGGGAGTGGTGAAGCACTACTGGTCTGAAAGAGCAGTTTTGAGTGTACACAATGGACTACTACTGAGAGGTACAAGGTTGGTCATACCTGCAAACATGCGAAACGCAGTTCTGGACAAAATACACGAGGGACACCAAGGAGTAGTCAAGTGTAGAGAACGTGCGCGACAAGCAGTGTGGTGGCCAGGCCTGAGTAACCAGATCGGTGAACTTGTCCTTAAGTGCAGGCTGTGCATTCAGGAGAGAGTTAATGTGAGGGAACCTCTTATGCCCACACGTTTACCTGAGAGGCCATGGCAGAACTTAGGAGCTGATCTGTTCACACTAAAAGACAAAAACTATCTGTTAGTAGTGGATTACTTCTCGAGATATGTCAAGATTGCTCAACTCAGTCCAACTCGTTCAGCCAATGTGATTGTGCATTTAAAGTCAATATTTGCACGCCATGGAATCCCTGAAGTATTGCTCACCGATAATGGGCCACAATTTGCATGTCAAGAAATGAGAGATTTTGCAAAGGACTACTGTTTTGAGCATGTCACCAGTAGTCCCAGGTACTCGCAGAGCAACGGCGAAGCGGAGAGAGGCGTCCAGACCGTCAAGAATCTCCTCAAAAAGGCTAGCGATCCATACAAGGCGTTGCTGGCATACAGAACAACAGCACTGGCAAATGGCTACAGCCCGGCTCAACTTCTCATGGGGCGCAGGCTTCGTACTACCTTGCCAATGCTTCCTGAAACCTTACAGTCCTGTCTGCCTGATTTTCAGCAGGTTAGTTGTTCGGAGAGAGAGAAACGGCTGAGACAAACCGAAAGTTTTAACAAGAGACATAGAACAAGAGAACTGGATAAATTGGTGCCAGGACAACCAGTCTGGATCACGGATGCAAGAGCACAGGGCACAGTGACAGCAGTCCACCCGACTCCACGATCGTACGTCATCAGTGGGCCCCAAGGGACAATTAGAAGGAACCGCAGTCATCTTGTGCCGATCCCGCAAACAGAGGCTCAAACCGAAGCCACACAGATCCAAGCTACTCCTACAGAGAAAGTTTCTGAGCCAAGCCCACCCCATACACCAGGTGTGGTTAGAACCCGGTCTGGTAGGGAGGTGATTAAACCCAAAAGACTTGATCTGTGAAGCTGATTGTTTGAAAACGGAAAAGTGTGTTTCAAATGCTGAGTTGTGGTTTTGAGGGTAGCATGTTGAAAAGAAAAAAAGTGTTTATTTTGTTACAGGTTGAAAAGAAAAAAAGTGTTTATTCTGTTACGGGTGGAAAAGAAAAGAGAAAGTGATTATTCTGTTACAGGAGGAAAAGAGAAAGTGTTTATGACAATACTGACTTTATGTTTCCTGAAATGTTGTGGTATGCCTGTATTGAAAAAAACTATATGCAGTTATGTTTTGTTTGAAGAACAAAAGAATGTACCAGTCTGACTTCAGTAAGGGGGATGTGGTGTAATCTATATTGGTGAATATCATGCGCCACTAGGCGGCAGTACTTACCCTTCTAGACAGGAAGGATGCTATGTGATGGATATAGAGTGAGCTGGAATAAACATGGTGGGGTTCCACATTATTGCCTAAACGAGGAGTTTTATTAAAAGAGCCCAACACAACATTACTGACTAGCACTGCAAAACAGAATTGTTAAAGTTTTAATTTTAATTTCACTTCAGGTTAGATTTTTTTTTTGTGCGCAGAGACCATGCCAGCAGTGCGCAATTGCGCACGTGCGCAGCTTAGAGGGAACATTGAGTACAATACATCAAATTTTGTACCGGAGCATAGTAGATGTTACCTTTTCTGTAAGGAGGTTTACACTAGACACCATATGATTATGGAGACCCAGTAAATACCAAAAGAAGTCCTACAGATCACCCTCGGTTTTGCACGTTACCTTGAATGTTGGACTCATGGGACCGTAGCAGTTTAATGACTCTTCGCCTTCACTGCTGTTGCAGAGAGAAATGGCAGAGCTTCTGTTTTCCAGCTCGCTCCACTGGTCTCTGCTGTCTGTCAGTCGCTAGGAAAAAAAAAAGAAAAACAGAACATTTGTATTTGATAGACAGATGTGCAGTAAAAGTACTTTCTGTCCTTAATTTGTATACACTGAAGGCAAGGTAAATATATGCCTCAAAGCAGTATAAAGCACATATTTGCATTGTTTCTTTTCGAGTTTAAGATGATTTAAATTAATAAGCTTTCTTATTTCTTTAAGGCACATTAGTATCCACTTCACCCTTGGGTGGGGAAAAGTAAAATAAAACCAGATGTTGCTAGTTTTGGTATCGCAGCCTTTGTACATTATGGCAGAAAATTTTCCTAAGAGGATCAAGGTTTGTTTCCATAAAGCACAAACCACAATTGTAACAAATAACTACCCCCCATCAAAGACACAATGACAGCATCTTAAACAATAACACTCCAGACATAAGCTGTCGTAGGATTAATGGTACAACAATATACCTCTCTGAAAGTGTAGCTGGCGTTTGGTACTTTTAGAGTGCACCCCTTTCAAATGTTGGCGGGGCTGGGTGTTGATGCATAATTTTGACACTTTTCCCCAATATCGCCCAATTTTAAAGTGTGAAACTTTTAAAACTTGTTTTCACTGTTCGCTCAAACTGCATTAGTTGGTGGCAAAAGCCTAATGAATACCTAGCCCACTGCTGGTGATAAAAACTGGAATTTCCACAGCGCCTTACATCATTGGTGCTTCATTTTGACACCCTCTAAGCCAAAGCAGCATTCTTTCACTTTATTGCTTCAGATCTGGAGCCAAATTCTATGAAATTGGAGTTGTTTAAAAAGCTTGCGTGTACTTCATGAAACACTTTTTATGAAACACTAGGGGAAACAGGACATTTTTCTGGAGCTATGTCAGTAAAGTACTGACATAGCTGCTTTGTAGATGTCTGAATAACAAAATGAAATGCCTAATTCCCAACTTCTTAACATGTGAAACTGTTGGACACATTTGACAAATTGTGTGAGAGATTGAATCATGGAGGCAAAACTGAAGTTAGTTTGTCCTTGATGTTATTATCTCATGAAGATTTCATGAGATTCATTGTTTTTATGTGCACACGGTGGATTATAAATGACATAGCCAAATATAAAATTTCAAAATTGTTTCCAGAAGAGTGTAATTCTAGTTGATTTGGAACCTGTGTGCTTGCTGCATGACATCTATGTCAACAGTGTTTTATTGAAAATGGATCTTCAGTCTGCCTTTATTGATAGACTCACAAACCTCCTGACATTTTCTGAGGTAGCATTTTGCAAATCTTACATGAAAGTATGATCTTATTCTCAAGATTGCTCTACATTGATCTTATTGTGCAAAAAGGACAGTTACCTAAGTAAATTTAAATATATATATTTTAAATATATTTTATATGTAATATATAATACATATATTTTTAATTAATTCTCTCTCTATATAATATATATACGTGTGTGTGTGTGTGTGTGTGTGTGTGTGTGTGTGTGTGTGTGTGTGTGTGTGTGTGTATAAATCCATAGATTTCCTTACAATCTGTACAAAGCAAACCTTGTTTTGCAGTGTTCTTTCTTCTTCATTGTCCTCCCTCGCCTCATTCTTGTCATCCCTGTGTCGCCACACCCTTATGTGGTGGAGGTCTTCCTTCACTTCATGTGTGAAGTCCACCTCTTCCTCCTGTTCATCATCTCTTGGAGTCTGTCTGCTTTCTGTCGGCCTCCTCTCTTTCTGCAGAGTTGGCTGCACCTCTTCTTCTTCTCTCTCCTGCTCATGCTTGTTATTCTCATTCTTTTCCTCCTGTTCCTTTTGCACCTCCACCTCCCCCTTCACCCTGCAGGCTTCTTCACTGTGGAAAAGATAATTACATTGAACTGACCAAAATGTTGTGATCCAGACACATTACCACAAGTAAAAACCTTGGGGAAAACAACAAAGAAAAAAACTCTACATAACCTACACAAATGACTGCATTTCAAAATGTAAAATCACTTAAGTACTGTACTTGAGCAAAATGAGCAGGGTGTAGTAGAGGCTGACAGTCATACTGTATGATTTCACCTCACATGATATCATCTTTCCCTAACGTTTTCTTAAAAATATAGCAATTATGTTACATTTTACAACTGCAGGAAAAAAGAAAAGAAAATGTTGAAGAAAAGTAAAAAAAAACATATTACTTTTCCTAAAACATCTGCCTGGCTTCCTACAGAAACTACGCAACACTTTTTTAAAGCAGGCATTTGCAAAATATCACCACCAAAATATAATTTTGTATTATTGCAACAAGATAACCCACAATTTTCATGACTGTGACTTATTTATTTTCCTATATTTTCATCAAATAAAGTTTTATTTCATTCCTTTTGTTAAGCAAGCTCACTTCTAATTCTTTTTTCATTATTATTATTTAATTCTTTTGTCAACCCAAATACAATATAGCAACATGCTATGTTATATTTTATTTGTAGCTTTTTGTGTTTAAGAATTAGAGAAGATGAGTAATGCTGTGTGTCTATTACCTAGATTGGGCACAGCAAGACATTAAAAAAAAAGAATAAGAAAAAAAAAAACTAACAGTGAGTAGGGAGCATATCGTGGCTTCATTGTTCCTGCTGCCAAATACGATGTCATATCTGCTGGCCGGCAGGTTGTGTGCTGCAACCTTGTGTCGTGTGCCAAGAAGACCGATGAGCTGTAAGATGTCCTGACTTCCTTTTTGTCATTCGAGGTCTATAAGAAGTCAAATGCAGAGAAGGGAACACAACATCTTTAATAAATTAATGCTATATACCAAGAGTGTGCAAAAGATGTTTACATCAGACCATGCATTTTTTCTTAGCATTGCAATAATTATTTATTAGAATTATTTACTGTTTCCCCACATAAACCCCTAGGTTACAAGTTATGATTAAAAATCACTACAGGTAATAATAAACATACTTAAATTCCTCCTGTGCTTGCAGAGCAATTTCCCTAACAATCATTATGTAGAGCATTATTAGTGTAAATGATTGGGCAACCAAAGTGCAGATTTGGGAACCATAACAGAGTGTAGATATGAATGTCATGGTAATTTGAGCTTTTAATGATTTCCTTGAACTTTTTCCACTTTGCAAAGCATTTAAGCATTTAATGACTTCACTAAACAAGAATTGGTGCACAAGTTCTACAAAGGGTCAAAGGTTTACAGACGAGATCAAATAATTATATACCCCCACTATTTTTTGGTTAAATCTCCCTCAATAACTCACATCTTGCCGGGGTGGTTTTAGAAGTCATTAGATCCAAGTGGTTGTCATACTTCTTGCTATATATTTGTCTCAATATTTAAACTCTACCAGGGCCTGGCAGAACTGGTAGAGCTCATTTAAAATTGTTGATTTCTTGGCACTGATCTGGCTTTTAAAACAAACTTTCAATACGGTTGAGCTCAGAGCTTTGAGTGGGCAATTTCAGCAGCTTAATGTAACCCAGTTCCTAAAATCATCTCAAACAAAAGAGAAGAAAAAGCAAAACATTTAATGTTCATTGTTTCTGTTCTTACTGTCCTTGTTTAATGAAAGTGAAACGAGATCAAAATATTTATTTAAACATACACTCAACAAAAATATAAACGCAACACCTTTGTTACTGC